ATTAAAACAAAAACAAAAAAAAACATGTTTGCTTCAATTAGCTATTTATTTCAAATTTTCATAAAGAAAACCCCATAAAAATTGTTTTTCAGATTTATTTTCAATTATTTGTTAACTATCGAATTTAATTTGGATAAAATTCTAAAAGAAAAATAAAAATTTTACTTCTTTGCTTTCGGTTTATCAGTTTCAAAATTTGATTGGAAAAAAAAAATATATATCATAAAACGTTATTTCTTTTTTGTGTTGATCGAAATTGAGTTGTTTCCTTTTGTTACATATTGTTTCCTCTTGTTACATATTGATACATCTTCAATACTATTCTGTTAGGTACACAAAGGAAATACCATAAGCGTCAATGGAGTATTTTAATGAAGAACCTCCTTACCAAGCTGATGAAGACCAATGGAGTCAAATAGAAGAGAGCTTTGCCTTTTTCGATGAGGAGGTTGACTATGAATTTCCACCGTGGCCAGAAGATTGTTATCCGAGCTTTGATTATGAGGAAGAGACAGACGTTGACGGTTATAATTCTGAACCACTAGACGTTTCTCAAGATAACGCAAGTCACACGAGTTGGTCAAGAGAAATAGAAACTAACCAAGGAAGCGACATAGGAGAAACCGATGAAGGAGACCCATGGATTGAAGAATCTGATTTTCAATTTAGTCCAGAAGAAGTATACGAGCGTGAAGAAGATGAGAATTCAGAAGTGTGCCATGAAGAAGAGCGGAATTCTGAGGAAGACAAAGAAGTCCATGAAACTGAATCATGGCATGAAGAAGTCATAGAAGAATCATGAGATGAAAAAATTGAATATGAAAACAGTTTAGGAGAGACTAATTCGTTTGATGAAGAAACTTGGAATAACGAGGCTGAACCAAGAGATAGGTTTGGTGATGAAATAGAGATTAAAGAGGAGGAACTAGAACTGCAGTACATCTCTTTTTCAGGTCAGAGTCAAGGGCCAGAGGCTTATCTATGATGGGAGAAAACCATAGAAGAATGGCTACAAGCCAATCAAATCTCTGAGGAAGAAGAGACATCTTATGCTGAAGACACTCTCACCGAAGATGCCTTTAGGCATTGGGAACAAGATGCTTATGCTCGTCTTGTGTATGATGTACCAGAATCTTCTTGGGAAGAGATGAAGTAACTGTTAGTGCAGAAGAATCTGCTGAAGCAACAGGATTAGTGAAGCAGTGAAGAGTTCATGTGCTGCACAGAAACTGGAAGGAATAATCAGCAAACTAAGAAGAAAAGTCTTCTTGTGACTAGGCACACCAGGTGGCACCTCGAGAAGCGTACGCGAGAAGTCGAGTTCAGAAAACAAGGAATTCTGACACAAGTGCACAAAGTCAAAGTGCAAGTGAGTTTACTTACTGTTGATCAAAGGTTGATGAAACTGGTGATCTGACATCAACATGACAGTTATGTTGCCATTTCAGATTAAAAGAGAGCTGTTTTTAGGGTTATAGGAGTTGTTGGTTGCTACTACTATTAAAGGAGAGAGAATAGTTCACATGTCTACTAGTTCTTCAACTAGTTCTTTTGAAATAGGTCTCTGAAGAACTCAGAAACAGTGAGAGCCATTTGATCTGTTGTGTTGAGTGAAAGAGATAGGTTTCATAACTGTTGTTATGTTACATTGGGTAGATTAGTAAATGTTTGTGTAATCTATCTATTACAATAGCTGTGTTGAGTGTCAACTGTTGTGCCTTGCGGGAAAAGCAATAAAGATTGAGTGTTTTTATTGGAAACTATTTGTTTCATATACATATCTTTGTTTTAGTATCTTGTGCAAAGGTTCCTGCTTTTCAG